AAGGGTGAAATCTGGGGAGAAAATTCCACAATCTGTTAGAAAACTCAACTCAGAAAACCTTGATCCCTTGTGATCTGGCTTCTGTTTTCTCCAAAGCACCAGAGAGTTCACCACTAGGGCAGACGGGGCCAATGGCCCGCACTCTCTCCTGCCAGGTTTCTGCACATAACCTTTATTCACTCCTCAGTAAGGTTTGTCTCAAGTTCGTCTCAGGCTCCAGGGAGCCTGTCCCCCTTCCCATGGGGGCAAGTCCTGCCTCTTCCGATGCCCCTCACACTGACAGCCCGCTGACCAGCCACAGAGATGGGCGCTGATCATTCCTGCCAAGAGCATCTGCCCGGCTAGTCCTATTTCTACTGCCAGGAGGGAATCTCCTTGAAACCAGGTAGGGCTTCCCATTTATTCTCCAAAACCTCTAGCATGGTGTCTTGCACATATCAGGAGCAACCATAAGATTGGCTTGGGGGGTGGGGCGGGGCACAGAACGATAGCACAGTGGGTATGGGACTTGCCTTGCATGCGGCCAACCTAGGTTCAATTCCCGGTTTCCCATGTGGTTCCCTGAGCCTGAGCCTGCCAGGAGTAATTCCCGAGTGTAGAGTCTGGAGTAACCTCTGAAGCATGGGTGTGGCCCCAATAAAAAAAACAAAATGTCTTTTGATAGGTTCCTTCTAAATTACCGTGCAATTAATAATTGGGAAAAGAGGTTTTGCTTTATAAAAAATATTTTTTTTAATGTTTTAAGGAAGTCTGCATAAATAGGGCAGCCTAGGGGGCTACTGGAAGTTCCCAGAACTGAGTGAACCAGAAACTATCCCTGAGAGAGTGCAGCCCAGAGGGGAGAAGAAGGCCAAAGAGACGACAGAGGGTTGAGAGTCTAGCCTTGAATTTGGTTTAAGCCCCCCCCACCCCCCCACCCCCGCAGGAGCAAAAGCAACCAGCCTCACATGCTAGGGGAATAGGCGGTTCAGATAGAGAAGGGAAAATTCGCTAGTGAATCCATCTGGACCTGGGCTTTTGTTTTGGGGAAGACTTTTGATTACAGTTTCGATTTCATTGATGTTAATAGGTCTATTCAGATACTCCAGATCTTCTTGATTCAGCCTTGGGAGATTATAGGAATCCAGGAATTTATCCATTTCTTCTAGGTTCTCTTGTTTCGTGGCATACAGACTTTCAAAGTAGTCTCTGATGATCTTTTGAATTTCTTTGGTTTCCGTTGTGATATCCCCCTTCTCATTTCTGATTCGGTTTATTAGGGTTCTCTCTCTCTGTTTCTTTGTGAGTGTTGCTAGTGGTTTATCTATCTTGTTTATTTTCTCGAAGAACCAGTGGGAAATGGGCACTGGTGGAGGGATGGGTATTTGATCATTGTATAATTGAAACCCAAGCACAAAAATGTGTAAGTCTGCAACTGTACCTCATGATGTCTCACTAAAAAAAAAAAAAATAGAGGAGGGATCACCAAGTAAAGGGTGTTTCAAGAGCCCTCTCGGGATGGGAGATGCATGCCGAAAGTAGACTCTAGATTGAACATGATGGCCATTTAATATTGCATTGCAGACCACAACACCCTAAAGGAGAGAGAGAGAGAGAGAGAGAGAGAGAGAGAGAGAGAGAGTAAAAGGGAATGTGAGCTGGAATAGAGAAGGGCTCACTAAGGAAAAGATGGCTGGAAGAATCGGTCAGGATGGGAGTTGTGTGCAGAAAGTGGATAAAGGACCAAACATGATAGCCTCTCAAGGTCTGTATTGCAAACCATAATGCCCAAAAGCAGAGAGAGATTATGGGGAATTATGTCTGCCATGGAGGCAGGGGGAGGGTGAAAAAGGGGGGTATACTGGGGATATTGGTGTTGGGGAATGTGCACTGGTGGAGGGACAGGGTGTTTGATCATTGTGTGACTGTAACCCAAACATGAAAGCTTGTAACTATCTCATGGTGATTCAATAAATTTAAAAAAAAAAAAGGGAATGTGCCTGCCACAGAGGCGGGGGGGAGGGGAATGGGAGGGATACTGGGAACATTGGTGGTGGAGAATGGGCACTGGTGGAGGGATGGGTACTTGATCATTGTATGACTGAAACGTAAGCATGAAAGTTTGTAAGTCTGTAACTGTCCCTCATGGTGCTTCATTAAAAAATTAAAAAGTTAATTAAAAAGAAAGGAAGAAAGAAAGAAAGAAAGAAACAAACAAACAAACAAACAAACAAAGGAGAGCTGGGAGTAGCATTACTGGATCTGCACTCCCTTCCAAAAAAAGAAAATCGAATAAAAATAAAGAAGGAAAAAAGATGTCTGAAAATCTTGAGCCACCGAGGGAAAGAAATAAATGTTGTGGCATGTACATACAGGTGTTCTGACGCTTTGCTTCTCTGGGCCTAGGAACTGTTCCTGAAGGAGACAGTTTCTGAACGGGGCCATGAAGGAAGAGCACCATGGGGATGAACAGGGAAGGGGGTGGTGGGAACTAGGAAGACAGGGAGCACTGTTAGACCAAAGAAAGTAGGGCAGGGGCCCAGGGACTGGCCCGCGGACTTTGGCTCAGTGACGAGGAGAGCCGGTCTCAGCAGTGAGGGGCAGGGCAAGGCCCTAAACAACCAAAAAAAAAAGGCTGTGGGCCTGTGAGACACTCCCAAGGCTGGGGGTCTGTGATTCATCACAAGTTTATTAAGCAACGGGATGACAACACAAAGCTCGTAGAGAGCCATTAAAAAGAAATGACTGAGTTTTAATGGGTCCTTGGGGAGCTCTCCTGCTTGGGAAGGTCATGAGCGTCCAAGGCTTTGTCCCTGTTTTTCTGAGATCTGAGACTTTCTTTGTTTGCAACCCACTGGCTTGGAAAGGTGAGGTGACCAGGAAACCAAGGTCTCCAAGGTGACCTTTTCTAAAGAGTCTGTCTTTTGTTTCGTGTCCCAGGGAGAGATTTATGACTGAGATGTTCTTTCAAGAAGTCCAAAGGCAGGGAGCCGGCTCTACAGGCTGCAGTGCGCATGCCTTCGATGTGGGAGCCCAGGGCTCCTCCCCTGGGACCAGTGGTCTCCCCGGCACCGCTAGGAACCGTCCCCAGCACTGAGCTTGGGTAGCCCCTTAGCCCAAACAAAGCAACATAAAAATAGAAGAAGAATGCTCAACAGTGGCAAGAAAGGGTGAAATCATGCCATGTCGTGCTACAAAGATGGAACTGGATGGTATCGCGCCAAGGGAAGTCAGTCAGAAGGAGGAAGATACAGAATGATCCCCCAAGTGGGCTATGAAGATGCACAGGGAGCAACTAATGGCCAAAGGCCACAGAACTGGAGAGCTGATCCCTAGAACTGAATTTGCAGGGCTCGGGGGGGAGGGTGAATGTGGATAGGAAGGGACTTTGGGATATTGATAGAGGGGAGAAGTTACTCCGGTTGAGAGAGTGGTGTGGGAATAACGTGTGTCTGAATCTAGCATTAATGGTATTGTGAATCACAGCATCTCATTAAAATTTAGTGTAAAAGACAGAACATTTAAAAACAAAACAGAATAAAAAGTTCAGAGGTGACCAGTTCTGCAGGGAAAGCCAAAGAGCCGAAAGCAGGGTCTCAAAGAGACATTTGTCTCTCCATCTTGGCGTCCCCATCAGTCACGGCAGCCGCAGGGAGGAAGCGACACAAGCTTCGTGGGGGGAGAATGTATAAAGGAAACGTGTCAAGGTGGTGGACTTGGACGGGGCCGAAAAGGGAAGGATAGAACCACACACAGTGCAACCAGGAAACATGATGAGAATCACCGGGGATGAGACCAGCGAGCCACAGAGGGCCAATGGTATGACTTCACGCATCTCAGGGGCCAGGAGCAGTCACAACCACAGGCAGAAAACAGAAAGGGGCTGCCCGGGGCTGGAAAGGCAAGGAGGGGACATTATCTACTCTGTAGAGTTTATGGTCCTGGGGGAGCGTTGCACAACAATGCAAACTGACCTAACGCTGTAGCATGAGACTCCCTCCTACGTGGTCAGGATAGCACTGTAGCACTGTCCTCCCATTGTTCATTGATTTTCTCCAGCGGGCACCAGTAATTTGTCTCCATTGTGAGACTTACTGTTACTGTTTTTGGCATATCGAATACTTCACGGGGAGCTTGCCAGGCTCTGCCATGCAGGCAGAATATTCTCGGTAGTTTGCCGGGCTCTCGGAGAGGGACGGAGGAATCGAATCCAGGTTGGCCATTTTGGCTGTGTGCAAGGCAATCGCCCTACCCGCTGTGCTATTACTCCAACTCAAGTGGTCAGGATAGTAGATTTAATAATACATATGCTTAAATACGTGAAGAATGAGCCAGAGAGAGAGTCTAGTGGGTAGAGTGATTGCCTTGCATGCAGGCAACACAAACGTGATCCCTGACACTGTAGACCCTTTCCTGAGCCCCGCCAGGATTGATCCCTGAGTGCAGAGCCAGGAGTAAATCCTGAGCACCACCAGTCATGTTGTCGTCAGTGTGGCGTAAACCCCCAACAACAACAAAAATTCAGGAAAGGTTTTGGAATTTTCAGAAATCATGCAAGTCTACAACCTCTCGCCCACAACTCTGAAATCCACACCCTTTCACAAACCAGCAGTTTTGACTCCAGCCAAACTCCACCGGGGACTAGAGAGAAACTATAGGGCCGATGCAACATCACATTGATCTTCCAAACACCAGGTGAAGTCAGAGACTGAAACACCCAGATCAAGGAGTGAGGTCCCTTCTAATGAGATGTTTTTCCTCCTTCGAACAGAGGACACAGTTAATTAACTATGGATGCTGTATTCATCCACGCCCTAAACATGATCATCACATGTATGACACTGTCATCCTCAATGGGGCTGGGTGGGCTGGTCCTGCTTTGGAGATATCAAGGATGACCAGTCATCGGCGTTATCAGCCGAGTTAGGATAAGCCTCATACGTAGGCGGCTCTTTGCTTTCCTGCCTCTAGGAAAGGCAACCCTCAGTGGGCCCAGGCACACCTGTCTGAGCACTGCTTACCAGGTCACACCTGGGCACGCTGGACACAAACTGGGCCCCTTGGCAGCCAAGGATGAATCCAGCCAGATTTAAGAGGACACAAACCACAGAGAGCAGCACGAAGAGGTTGACCTGAAACAGCAAGAAAATAGCCAGTTAGAGGGGCTGGAGAGATAACACAGGGTGTTAGGCACTTGGCTTCATGTGCTGACCTGGGTTTGAGGCCAACACCCCAGATGGTCCCCCGAGGTCCCCCAGGAGTGATTCCTGAGCACAGAGCCAGGAGTAAGTCCTGAGCTCAGCCTGGTATGGCCCCCAACAAAAACAAACAAAAAAGAAAACAGGCAGTTAGAAAAATCCAACAGCTTTGGGGCTGGAGCAGTTGTACAGCGGGTAGGGTGTTTTCCTTGCAGGTGGCCAACTCGGGTTCAATCCCTGGCATCCCATATGGCCCCCCGAGCACCGCCAGGAGTAATTCCTGAGTGCAGAGCCAGGAGTAGCCCCTGAACATTGCTGGCGGTGACCCAAAACCCTAAAAGAATTCTTGCACCACATGGTTCCCTGAGCACCCACGGGTAAAAGCCTGGAGCACAGAACTGGGAGTACCCCTTGAGCACTGCTGGATGAGGTCTCCAAACAAACAAGCAGAAGTATAGGCCAGAAAGATAGTTCAAAGGTGAAATCACTTGCCTTCTTGTAGCTGGAACCAATTTGTTCCAGGGAGCCTCAAATGGTCTCCTGAACATCCCCAGTAGTGACCCTGAGCACAGAGTTGGGAGTGACCCCTGAACATCACTAGGTGTGTCACTCCCCTTCGTTTTTTTTTTTTTGAGTTCAACTTACTCATTATTTTTTTTTATTATTGTATCAGTTGGGGGTACAGTTATAAAGCTTTCATGATTGCGTTTCAGTCATACAATGATTGAACACCCATCCCTCCACCAGTGTACATTTTCCACCACCAATGTCCCCAGTATCCCTCCAACCACCCCCACCCCACCCCACCCCACCCCCTGCCTCTATGGCAGACAATGTCCTTCTTACTCTCTCTGCTTTGGGACATTATGTTTTGCAATACAGCTACTGGGTGGTCATCATGTTTGGGGAGACCAGATGTTCCAGCACACATCTTCCATCCCGAGAGATCCCTCCAGACATCATTGACTTAGATGTCACCCCCCCTTTTTTTAACATAACAATCAAAATTATTTATTTTTTTTTTAATTTTTATTAGTGAGACACCACGAGGTACAGTTGTAGACTTACAAATGTTTGTGCTTGGGTTTCAATTATACAATGATCAAATACCCATCCCTCCACCAGTGCCCATTTCCCACCACCACGGATCCCAGTATCCCTTCCACCCCTCATCCCCCCATCCCACCCTGCCTCTGTGGCAGGGCGTTCCCTTTTGTTCTCTCTCTCTCCTTTTGGGTGTTGTGGTCTGCAAAAGTGGCAATGTCCACTCCCTTTTTAAAGAACCACATCCTCTTCTAGAGAAATCCCTTTAAGTCAAAACCATGTTTTAATGAATGACTTTTTAAAATGCTTCTGAGAATATTTTCTGATTGTGTCGAGGACTGTCATGGAATGCCACATTTCTCAATCATTCTATGTCCCGATTTTTATTTTGTCTTCCTGGCAAATAAAGGCATTCTGATTCCTTTAGCTTTTATAGGGAAGTTTCATTAAGCCATAGCTATTTTTTTCTTGAGTCACTTATTGTTTTCTGACTCTGCAGGATTGATAATACATGAGAAAAGAGATCATTCTAAACTATAACTGAAACTCAGAAATCAAAGCGCTGACTCAGGGCTGGAGTGATAGCACAGCAAGTAGGGTGTTTGCCTTGCACGCAACCGACCCGGGTTCGATTCCCAGCATCCCATATGGTCCCCTGAGCACCGTCAGGGGTAATTCCTGAGTGCAGAGCCAGGAGTAACCCCTGTGCATCGCCAAGTGTGACCCAAAAAGCGAAAAAAAAAAAAAGCTGACTCATTACTAGCCAAAAGTCCCAGTGTTATAAGATAAATTACCTTTTTTTTTTTCAGTAGAAACACCTGGAGTACTAAGAATAAGTATATAATCACATTTTCATGTACATTAAAGTGTTTATAAATATTACCTTCATTAAAAATTTATAGAAATCACTCAAAAAACTAATGCATTTACTTAGTACCAGTTGGAGACTACAAAGGCATCTCAATTTAAGAACTAGATTGTTATAAAAAAAATCAGGCCATTTTGGGGCTGGAGAGATAGCACAGCGAGTAGGGCGTTTGCCTTGCACGTGGCCGACCCGGGTTCGATTCCCAGCATTTCATATGGTCCCCTGAGCACTGCCAGGAGTAACTCCTGAGTGCAGAGCCAGGAGTAACCCTTGTGCATCACCAGGTGTGACACAAAAAGCAAAAAAAAAAAAAAAAAAATCAGGCCATTTTAAAGACGATTAGCACTTGAGATATCAGTGTTAGAATGAAGCATCCTTTCAGGCCAGCATTGGTAGACACGTGAGCTCATAAAAGAACTCTGAGGGAGAAAATTCACACACAAATTCTGAGGGAGAAAACGGACTCCTGATTTTTGGCATCCAACACAGATTCCCATGGCCCCTGTGAGCAGACCAAATTGAGTATCACAAGAGACCCCTTTTTTTACCTAAGATAAGTTATATACCCGAAGATCCCTAAAAGGAATTCTTTCTTCCTCTCTCTCTCTCTGAGAAATCTGGCTTCTCCCACTTTGGGGTAAATTTGTAAAAGGGCTATGTAGCCTGTCATCAAATTCTGGGAAAAATCTGACAATGTTTGTGGAGTGACTTTCTCCAGTTATACTTGGCAGTACCTAAAGGACGGGATGTGAGCAACCTGCCCTCTCCTTGCACTAGACCATTCATCATTTGCCAAAGCTTTTTGGAAAACAAGAATGCATAATTGCAAAGAAACAAACATGGTTTCTTCCATGAACTCCTATGCTCTGGTGGTTGCACTGAAGAAAGCAACTTAAAATAGCTAAATCTTCACACACTAAGCAACACAATTATTGTTATGGTGGAGAAGCTCTGACCTTTCCTGTAGAAATGTTCTTTTAGTGCAAGATCAGATTGACTTGAAAGAAAAGCCTGGGGCTGGAGAGATAGTTAAGGTGTTTGTCTGCTCGAGGCCAATCTTGGTATGATCTCCAGCCCTGCATAGGGTCCCCCAGGCTGAGCACAGAGCCACGAGTAAGACTGGAGCACCTCCGGGTGTGACCCAAACGTTCTATACAAATAATTCCTCAACTCAAGAACAAAATAAAAAGTAGAATAAAAAATGGAACAAAGCACTCAAATAGGTATTCACAGAAGAAAACAAAAGAACAGATTTTAAACACAAACATGAAAGGGGATCAGTATCTTCGGCCATCAGGAATGCTTTAAAAACAAGATCCTCCTTCATACCAACTAGAACGGTCAGAATGAAAAAGAGTGACAATGGCAAGTCTTCATGCGACTGGGAGCCTGGACACTCTCAAGCCTGGCTTGTGTCTGCAGAAAGCCGGGGACAGAAAGCACCATTCTCAGACCACCTTCTGTCAGAGGAGCAGGAATGCTTTGAGGATGTCTACGATTCACATTTTATTCGGGCTCCCTCAGTGGGATGTGCGATGCTTAATTTAGACCATGTGTAAAGTTAGTGTTTTAACTTAATAAAATGGGTTGATTTTCACCCGAGGAAAGAGAGAACAAAAGGGAATGCCCTGCCACAGAGGCAGAGTGAGGTGGAGGGGTATGGGGTGGGGGTGGTGGGAGGAATACTGGGATCATTGGTGGTAGAGAATGGGCACTGGTGGAGGGATGGGTACTCAATCATTGTATGACTGAAACACAAGCACAAAAGCTTGTAAGTATGTAACTGTACCTCACGTTGATTCACTAATAAAAAAAATGGGTTGATTTCTTTTTTTAAAGGGAGGAGTTCCTTTGTCTTCTGTCTCCAGCTGAGTTTGGCCAGAGAAAACTCTGAGAGAAGATGGGAGATAGAAAGTTTTTTCCCTGGCTATTTGCACCAGGAAAACCACACATGCTCTCTCAGGGCATCTGTCTACAAGGACCCCGACTTCGGGACTCTGGTCACCTCAGGTCCAGTAGAACAAGAGACAGGAAGACGTCACACTCTCTCACCCTGCCCACATTTTGTGAGCAGACCTTTGTTTTAATTTTATGGTGCCATCAGCATCCGGCTGGTAAAGGACAGTGTCAACTTGATTGATTCAACTTCTCTATAAAAATTTCCCTTATTATGGATACAGAGAATATCATGCTAAGTGAAATGAGTCAGAAAGAGAGGGACAGACATTGAATGACTGCACTCATTTGTGGACTATAAAAAAATAGTATGAAACTAATACCCAAGGACAGTAGAGACAAAGGCCAGGAGGATTGGTCCATGGTTAGAAGCCTGCCTCAAGTACTGGGGGAGAAGGCAGTTGGGATAGAGAAGAAACCACTAAGTCAATGATGGTTGGAGGGATTGCTCGGGTTGGGAGATGTATGCTGAAAGAGACAAAGGACCAAATATGATGGCCTCTCAGTATCTGTATTATAAACCATAATGTCAAAAAGGAGAAAGAAGAGTAAGAAGGAAAGTGCCTGCCATAGAGGCATGGGGTGGGTTGGGGTAGGGTGGCAGGAAGGATACTCTGGTGGGAAAAGTACATGGTGCAGAGAGAGAGGTGTTCAACATTGTACGACTGGAACTCAATTGTAAAAGCTTTATAACTGTATCCCCAGTGATTCAGTTAAAACACACACACACACACACACACACACACACACACACACATATGGGCTGGAGCGATAGCACAGCGGTAGGGCGTTCGCCTTACAAGCGGCCGGCATGGCCGACCCGAGTTCGATTCCTCCGCCCCTCTCGGAGAGCCCGGCAAGCTACCGAGAGTATTCGATATGCCAAACACAGTAACAACAAAGTCTCCAATGGAGACGTTACTGGGCCCGCTCAAGCAAATGTATATATATATAATTTTTCTATCCCTTATAGAACACTGGTGGAGGTAAGTTGACCCTGGTGGTAGTATTGGTGTTGAAATATTATGCACCTAAAACTCAACTATCAACAACTTTATAAATCACA